TAAGTACGTGGACATAATGCATTTCTTATCTTCATCCCAGGTAAAAGTGAAAGGTTGCAGTTGCAAGTACTTGTTCTCTCTTCGTTTTCCCGGATATTTTTGTATATGTTTTTACCTATCTCGCAGAAGAATTTTTCTCGAGGAAAGTAAATCAGACAGGCATTATTATTAGTAAAAAGTTATCTGTACAGTGTATTGGGTGAGTTACGAGTAATTGAATTCCGACTGTAAGGAAATCACTATGTCCAACTGTCACTATGTGGCAGTTTCAATAATTACTGTCGTTTTCCTGTTGTTTTTTTAAATATCATATGCAAGTTTAGGAATGTATAATATTTGTGTGTAAAGTCGGCAATCTTGAAGAATTATATTAATAAAAGCACTATGATGTAGAAACTATTTGTTTACCGTACGAAACAATATTGATAACATAGTACATAGTACGCGTGCTTCATGCTTTTAGTTATCAGATTAGCCGCCATGTTGTTATTATTATTATGTGTCGTCCCTCGCCAAGAATTTAATCTTGGCTGCATTGGGCTGCTTGTTGCAACTCGCCCAGTAGTGAGTCAGGGCGGCTTATCTAGAGTATAGGATACGCGGACCAGAGTTGCGACCTCGATGTCCATGTTTTTGAAACGTTTTTTTATTTTAATATTGTTTAAAATATTATTTTAATATTGTTTAAAATATTATTTTAATATTGTTTAAAATATTATTTTAATATTGTTATATAATAATATAATATGAATATTTTAACGAATATTAAACTTTGCTTGATGTAGAATCGATTTATTATACCGATGTTTTTTTAACATCAGTGTTTTGTGTGCTATGTTTACATGGATGATATTTTATTTTTGAATAAGAAACGCCGTGGTAAAAACCCATAATAATTAACTGAAATTGATAAATTGAATATTCTTCAAACCAAAATGACCAAGAGTGAAAAATAATGAAAATATAGTTTTTGTCGATAATTAAAGTTCATATATTTTTTAATTATTCAATCAGGTAATACAAGTTTTGTTAAATGACCTAATCGTTTTTTGGCTTTGTTTTGTCAGTTGAATCTCAAATGAAAATAAAGTCAAGTACCCTTCCACCCTCCCGAGTTAATAGTATTGATAGTAAAAGCATCGATGTGCAAAAAGTCGGTATTTTGTGAGCAATGTTTTATTATGATCGATGTTTAGAAAGTTTTATGTTTTGTTGGAGATGTCGCATCCCTGGTTGCCATTCGCCCGGGCAATGAGTCAGCGAGGCTTCTAAGCTATGGGTGCGCGGGCTGCGGGCTTGTGGTTTACGCGGCGGACGAATCGGCATAAAAGGCAGGCGAATGCTGTTTTGCCATTTCGTCAGTCGGTTCAAGCAGAAATATATAATATTAGGGGTGACTAGCTACCGGAGCGTAGATTCCCAAGGTCTTGACGGAAGCATTTTTGGATACACACACGTGTGTCACATATATGTGTGTCAAGCATAATAACAAATATTATAGCTATTTGCAAACTGAAACATTAATTTATTGTTAATAAAACCAAAAAAAATATAAATTAACTTTTTCGCCTGTTGATTTAGAGTATTAACTGCTTGAAAAATGGCAGGTGGCTAGATAAGGAACTTCGCACAAGTTGACTTCAGTGTACGTCGGAATGAAACTGAACAACGCTTAGAGTTAATATACTCCATTGCTGAATACTGTGACTGGCATGAAAACATTGTCCTCAAAATGATAATAACTCACTTGGTCACAGAATTACATAATTTCCAGTTCAGCGCAAGAATTCGCAAGTGCCACCCGTGATTCGTTCTTTATCGCCCTAATGACGTCCCAAACTATAAAACAGCCTTGAGCGTTGTGGAACTGCATATGAGGAGGGATTTTTATTTCGCGTGGCTGCACCGTGTCTGCGGAGGAGGCTGATATTCCCGTGCGCGTGACGCAGCCGCGAGCTGTTCCTCGCGCTCCTGCTCCGTCTGTCGCGCGCGCCATGGCAGGATGTGGCGTCTGCTCCCGCTGCCGCGAGCGGCGCGAAATCTGCGCCGCTGACGCACTGAAATTTCCGCGTCGCCGCGTGACGACCAGCGACCTGTAGTTTCCTGGACGCGCGACGCCCTGTTTACATTATTTATGCTCTGTGTTTAAATCGTTTATGCGCCCTGTTTGAATCAGTTATGGGCCCAGTTATTTGGTTTAAGCGGCCTTTTTGTAATTGTGTGGTATGCTCTCTGTTTAAATCGTGTATGCTCCTTTTTTTTTAAATCGTGTATGCACTCTGTTTCAATCGTGTATGCTCACTGTTTAAATCGTTTATGCACTCTGTTTAAGTCGTGAATGCTCTCTGTTTAAGTTGAATGCTCGCATAAATGAAGACTAGAAACTTAATTTAGTTTTGAAATTTAAATTTCTTAGTAATGTTCTAATCAAAGTATATGTTTATCAGAAATGTTCTGATTGACCTATATCTTTATAACGAAGTTTAAACCTGTTTCAAGAAATAATTCATAATGCTTTTTGTGAGTAAGCTGTTCCGTAGAAATCATACTGCCATGAAATGAAAATTAAAATTAACTAGTGAACAGAGTGTATCTCCCAACCGCTTGCTGAACGTGTAACAGATGTAAATGACTCCATGAGAGAAGGAATGTTGATTTTTCGCTTGAGAGGGTCTATGAGACGGAAGGGATACTGCCCGTCGATGTAATCAGTCGTTTCACCGGACGCCGTGATGAAATAGACACTTGTCTTTGGGGAAAGCTTGGAGTTTCTCTGAAAAGCTTCGAGCAGTTGGCCCCCATCTTCAATCATCCATATCGTGACCACAAGCAATTACGTTTGAGGTTACATGATATTTGATCTCCGTTAAACAGTTCTCAAGTACTAGTTACAGTAGTGAAATTTGTTCGAGAAAGTTGCTCATTGTTCGTATCTAGATTCAATACGTAGTTTTCGGATTGCAATTTAATGTTATTGTGAAAAATGCTTAATTATCTTGTTATTCCATTGTTTAATAATACAGGTTATGATCTTGTGCATTTGGCAAAGAATACAGAGAACTGAATTCCTAAAAAAATATGTGCTCTTTTAATACATTATTTTACTTTATAATGTATTTGTAAGTAGAAATATTTTTTCACGAATATGACTTAACTGGTTTTTATATTGCGATAACCCATAGTTTATTTCGAGAAAAAGTTATATTTGAAAGAGATTGTAATGCGATATTTACGTACTAATATTCTGATGCAAGATTACCAAACTCATTTCAGTCAAAGCAGGAAGGACGATACATGTACACATCTTCACCATTTCTGCTTTTCGATTTAATCGGTTGATTCGAATGATTAGTTAAAGATAAAATACAGTAAGAAAATTGAAACACAAGATAGTTTTTTTCTTTCGCAGTATTGGGATGCCTCTGCGATCAATGAGGCGACGGAGACAGAAATGTATGCTTGACAAGCTCGCCTTCCGGCACAACAGTGATCAGTAAACTAAGAGTGAAGAAAACGAATCGGAAATGTATTAGTTGAACTCGATGAGTAAAAATAAGAAGTGATTTTCTTCTATATTTCTATACTTAAAAGCCGCACCTTTGAAGACCTTCCATGATTACGTATGGTTCATGTGAACACACGACCTTCATTCCGGTGAAACAGCTTTTATCGATTTTCACAAGGTACCGTGAGACACTAATGTACTTGTCGAGGACCGCCAGTTTCACATGGTGTCCTTCAGGACACGGCCCTGCGTTTTCGAGTTTCTGTGTGGTTTTTACGACGCGTTCTCGAGTATTTGGGGAGCGCATGTGCCGGAGTGTGGGGCGGCGACGCGCAGATAACAGCGCTTCCTGGGCGGAAGTGCTTTCGCGCGCTTGTGGCGTCAAGAAAAGCACTCTGCATTTCCGCACTGGGCAGGTCTTCCCAATACTAATATGAGTTGTTCACGTGGGGGGAGGGGGGTCTCGTGGGGCTTTAACAAGCCCCCCTGCCCTCAGAAACCAATGATAATTATTCAAAACTGAAGCTTTTATTAATTTTCTTTGCTAACAAACTTCATTCAATGTATCAAAGGTTAACGTAACAAATATTAACTAAGTAAACAAATTAAAATAGACGTATATTCAGCACAAAGAATGAATCATTATAAGAGAACCACGGACTGGACCCTATACCTGACTCGCCCCCTGCCCCCCCGGAGACAAATCCAGGTGCGCCTCTGACAATATTGAAATTTATCATCTCATGTTTTGTTACTACTTTATTATCTCACCAACCAGAGCAGCAATAAGTATCAGGGCTCAGTTCTTCATATTCAGATTGTATTGTAATTACAATAATAACAAACGTTTGCACATTTATCATAATAATAAGGATTTTTGGAGAGAATATAAAAGTCGAAAATTGAATTATGTCAGGGAAATCCGATGTCAATCGAGAAACGAACATCTAAGCCCACAACGGAATTAATTATCGACGATTGTTGTGAAACGTACTTGCTTCAATTTTTAAGGTATACAGGATTACATAGGATCACGTTTAGATTTAATTTCAAATGCAAAAACTTTTTATCGGAGATGCGCCGTTTTGCAGTTCGAATGCATAAGGACAAAGGAATTTCGTAAATTCCCGACAACTGACTGCACTGCACCCCTATTTCGTTACGAAAGTCATGTGGCGACAAAAGGCGTCTACCGTGCAATTTCTCTCGGCACAGGTACCGGGTCCTTATCGCTTCCAAGCCCTAGGCCGCCGGAGTGGCGCGCCATGTCGGATTTCCCGGTTTGTTTTGTTTCGCGACTGCACGCCGGAGGCGCCCCCGGGCTGCCAGACTCCACGTGGACAAAGGACGTGTTCTAAGGGACCGCAGAATGTGGCATACCCAATAACGAAGGACCGTGGCGCCCGTGACGTCACGAAAATGTGAAAGGTACACCCCAATTGGGCGAAGTTCGGGCGCCAGAGAATCGACAAACAGCGATAATATTGTGCGAACCATGAGGACGAAATCGGAGGGGTCAGTCTGGTGCCTGCAGCCTCAGAGACAGTTGTGCGCCGGGTGTCTAGACGTGCTGGGTCTTCGTGAGGGTGACCACCTGTGCCGATGCAGTCTACCACCGTCTAGCCGTCTTTTCCTGCTGCTTACGGATTCTTATCCTACCTGCTGTGCCATAAGAGCCTCTTTCCGTATCCTGCCTCTCATTCCGTTTTTGTTTTGCTCTGCCGCCTTCCTCCCCCACCTTATCACCCGACACCTGCAACACCTTTACCGCATCCACCTTGCTTGCGTGCATGGGAAGTCACAGCGCGTGAGCGTATCGTCCTTCGTGGACCCCGCCTCCTCACCACCCCACCCCACCCACCCCACCCCACCCACCCCGCGCCGGTCGCAGTCGTCGCCGTCGAATTGACGCCGCGTGCCGTGAGTGGCCCGACGCCGGCCAGCAGCCGCCGGCTGGTGATCACGGGCGTGCGCCGAGAGAGAGAGGGGCGTGCGCCGCGCGACCGAGGCCGCGCATTGCGTGCGTGCGGGGGCGTGATGTCGGGCACGCTGGGCGCGTGCGTCGGTCATGCGTGGCGCGCCGTGGCCGGGTGCGTCGGACTGCGTGGCGAAGGTAGGTCGTCGTGTGTCAATGGGCGGTGCGACGTTGGAAGTTAACGCAATGTGTCGGGTTTATATTTAGACAAGGAAGGGGTCCGTCGCGAATATCCTGTGACTTTCTTTGTGTTGTGTCTGTTCTTTTGTTTTTATTTTTCATTTTTAGTTCATTTTGTATTTATTTTTATTTATTTTCATTTATTTATTTTGTATTTATTTCATTTTTTATTTTTATTTTCTTATTTTTATTTTTTAACTGTTGAGAAGTAGGTAATGCAGATTTGCGCGTGTTTCATAACATGCGTAGAACGATTGTGAATATTATGTGTGATTCTGGAAAATATTGGTTTTCAGTCTTTTAAATGTGTTCAGAGAAGTGCGAATAACGAATGGTGGATGGATTCGTAAAGCGAGTCGTTATAATTTTTTTTTTTTTTTTTTTGAAAATATTTTAATGGGAATGATGTTGCCATTATTGGGTGTAGTGTTGGGGATAGTGGCGAGTCTTTAGTTCGTAAACGGTATGTTTCGAAGTTCGTAAGTTTTGGTTGAACAGCACGTCTTCTAGTATTTTCGTATACCTTGTGTTTCTGGCGAGTCGTCGATGTGTCATGTTTCAGTTGTTGACATTACTTGTAGTTGTTTTTTTTTTAGGAAGGAAAAATAATTGTAGACTCATGCTTCATCAGGAAGAATTTACTGCCGTTTCCGGAAGTGGCTTTTCCAGATTTGTTATCTCGAGGCGCCACGTAAAGCGTTTGACGAGTACATTGTACCGACTAACTAAGATACCGTACCTTCAAAGAATAACAAAGTTCATTTTTTGTCAATATTTGCTATGTACAAGTTTACAATTCCCACCCCCTCCCCCTCACCTCGCTGTACCCTAGGTGCTACGAGAGTTTCAGGGTATCCCGTGTCAGTTTCTTACTTTCCTATCGTCCTGGTCAGCGCGCTCGGGGTTTTTTGTTTCTCAAGCCCTGAGCCAATCGGGGCCGAGCGGTTTGCCGGCTACTCGAGTGTTCTCTGAAGAGCACCCGCCCACCCGCGTTCCCCGGACCTCGCGAACCGCGACAAGGACTATGCGCAGGATGCGCTAGCGCAATGAGGCGGACACGACCACTTCACTTCACTTCACTTCACTTCGCTTCACTTCTGTCTGTCCGTTGCTCTTCTCCCCGGAAATAGCTGTGACGGTGTACTTCCTATGGTTGCCGTTCTCCCTAGAGGCTTCGTAATTCCGTTTGTTGATAGGAGCTGCAATAATTCTGTGAATTAATGGCGTGTGAAATATGTTAATTACGGTCTATTCTAATCTGCATGTTTCAAAACTTCTATATTCAGTGGTAGGGTGTGACATCTTTTTTTTTCTTTAAGCACACAAAGTAATTACGAGTTGCTTATTTTTAACATTGTTTACCGCCTCAAAGTGATGAATATTTTATTTTCGGATAAACAAACTTGAAGGTACAGTAATATTATATTATGTACAATGTGAATTGTTCCTTTGGATTGGAATTCTACAGAGCACTGCACGAGTTTCATTCTGCTGTCGACTTATCACGTCGGCATTTTTGTGGAGATAACTGAACGCGCGGCGAGCATAACTGAGGACCTCCCGCGAGCATATCGCTCAAACGGAGAGATCGGCGTGTTGTTCTTTTCTCTGTCTGTCTTTGCAGATCAGCTGACGATACTTGTCATTCGAGAATTCATCGTGTTTTTCATCAAGTTTCATGTGAATAAGGGTGTTTTAATATTGTGGAGATAGTTGTGTGTAGCTACGGTTAAGGGTGAGCAACTGTCAAAATACTTGATCCTTTTCCATTGTTGTTATAATAATAATAATAATAATGTTAATGGCGATAATGGTAAAAATAATAATAATAATAATAATAATAATAATAATAGCAATAATAATAATAATTTCTGTATATATTGAGAAATGGTTCATAATATTGGGTATGACATGTAAGCTTTACATATTATTTCTTAGAATGGTCGAACTCCTTATTTTTTCAAACTCTAATTACTTTAATTATCGAATGAACAGAAAATAACCTGATTTTTTGTTTCCACACTGCTCGACACTTCTCTATTAAAAAACTCACTATCATCATCATCATCGTAATCATCTGGCGACCAAGCCAAGTTGCTTAGAAACCGAACCGCCTCCGTTATCTCTGCGGGGCAGTCGCAAATGACGGAGAGACGGTCGTGATAGCGCAGTGCCTGTCCGCATGTGCCGCTTTGGGGGCGGCGCGCCGGATGCGGCGGTGGCGGCGGCGGCGGCGGCGGTCGCTTTTCTGGAGCGCTGCTGAGCCGCCGCTGCCGCCGCCGCCAGCGCCGCCGCGCAGGGGCTGACGCACGCGTGGCGCGCTGTTGTTGTTGCAGACACGTCGTACGAGAAGGCGTGCCGCCGCGGCAGCGCTCCCGCCACGCCCGTGCTGGGCACGCGGGCCCTCGAGCTCACGCCGTCGCGAATTGTGGTGAGTAGAACGGTCGGCTGGCCGGCCGAGTGCGACGCGACTGCTTTGTTTTGTGTGCGGTGTGTGTGTGTGTGTGTGTGTGTGTGTGTGTGTGTGTGTGTGTGAGAGTGATTGAGTGAAGGTGTGATGGTGTAGTTGAGAGCGGTTGTATGGGTGTATGTGCGTGTGTGTCGATGTGGGGGGGGGTTGTGTGTGTTTGTGTTAATGAGAGAGGGGCAAGAAATAGTGTCTGTGTGTTAATTGGAAAGGGGGTGGTGTGTTGGTGTGTGTATGGATGTGAGGGCGGCGCTGAATATGTATGTGTATGGGAGTGTGAGGAGGAGTGGAGAGGATGTAGGTGTGAAGCGGCTTGGTATAAAGGTGTGTGTACTTTTGTGAAGGAATACGAGATGTATGTGGAATTGGAGCTGAGGAAATTATGTTGTGTGGAGGGATGAAGGATTAAGGGCAGTGTGTGGAGGGGTGAGGAATGTGGGGGTTATGAAGAAAGATGGGGATGTGGGTGGGGGTGAGGTTGTGAGGTGGTGTTTGGAGAGGTGAAGGAGGACTGTGGTTATACAAAGTTAAATTGGTTGCGGGGGGGAGGGGATGTGTGTGAGAGAGAGAATTGTATGTAAGACAGGGAGAGGGAAAGTGAAGAAGGAAACGGTGAGACAATGGAGGACGTAGAAGACTTGCGTGGGTGACGTAGAAGGACGTAGTGTGTGACACACTGTTGTGTTTTGAGAATTCGTGAATGTCATGTGAATGACCTACGCAGGCTCTTGTCATTTACGTAATGAGTTTTTAGCAGGAGAGGAGCAAATACTAATTACTGTACGCTAATTTATAAATGATTTATATCACCATTGTAACGGTCCAACCATTTAAATTAATGTTGTTCAAATCTTTTAATGTGTTTATTGTTACATCTACGAAAAACATCTTTGTCTTGAAACATGAGATGCAGTTAGGTGTGTTCAGTCACGTATATTTTTCCAGTGTACTGAGGATAGAAGATATTAATGTGATATTTTCATTCAACATCAATATAATTATGTTACTGCTAAAACAAAAACATATTAATTTTATTTGTGATGTATATTAAAATTTATGATAATTGAAGTCAGAATAATTTGGCTATGATGACTGCACCTAGAGTTGGAGATAATTTTTGAATGAAGAAAGGACACCGGCACAAATTACTGACAACAAGCCGTTCACACACTATCGTAGACGACGCGTGGGCGAGAGTCTGCCGCGTCAATTCAATTCGATTCTCTCGTATATGCATTACTTTTGAATATTTTCTTCGTAATCTAATAGATTGAATCAAAATACCTTTGATGAAAAAATTTCCAGTTATTACAACAATTTATGCATCATAACTTTTTAATTTATTTGTATTTTCGTTTTAATTTGTTAATACTTTTAATAGTTTTGAATACGACTGATTAAAAGAAATTATTTCAGTGAATGTTGTAAATTTAAAAAAATAAATATTGGTATTGCATAACGGTAAAATGTGAACCCCCCCCTCTACCCCTATGTAACGCAGCGCCACGCTGCCTTAACCCCCCCTCCTTAGC